GGAGCAGGTCTTGAGACTATTATATGGGAGGAGTTTGACTCTGTGGCTCCCGAGGACGTGGACAGGATCCTGGGGAGGCTGAATGCAACCACATGTTTACTGGATCCGTGCCCCTCCTGGCTGGTACTGGCGGCCCGGGAGGGTACACGAGCCTGGCTCCAGGGAATTATAAACGCTTCTCTACGGGAGGGTGCCTTCCCCGTGGCCTTAAAGGAGGCGGTGGTGAGGCCTCTCCTTAAGAAGCCTTCCCTGGACCCAGATGTATTGGCTAACTATCGCCCGGTCTCCAACCTTCGCTTTGTGGCGAAGGTTGTTGAGAGTGTGGTTGCGCAGCAATTCCCTCGGCACCTGGAGGAAACAGTCTATCTGGACCCGCTCCAGTCGGGCTTCAGGCCGGGGTACAGCACGGAAACGGCATTGGTCACGCTGGTAAATGATCTCTGGAGGGCCTGGGACAGTGGTCATTCCTCTGTCCTTGTTCTTTTGGACCTCTCAGCGGCTTTTGATACCGTGGACCACGGTATCATGCTGCGGCGTTTGGGTGAGTTGGGAGTGGGAGGCACTGTTATGCGGTGGTTCTCCTCCTTCCTCACCGACCGTACGCAGTCTGTATTGGCAGGGGGACAGAGGTCGACCCCAAGGCCCCTAACTTGTGGGGTCCCACAAGGGTCGGTCCTCTCTCCCCTTTTGTTCAATATTTATGTGAAGCTGCTGGGGGAGATCATTCGTGGCTTCGGAGTGGATTTCCATCAGTACGCTGATGATACTCAGCTGTACATCTCCACCCCAGGCCACCCCAATGACGCCCTTGACGTGATGGCCCGTTGCCTGGAGGCCGTAAGGGTCTGGATGGGGAGGAACAGACTCAGGCTCAACCCTTCCAAGACCGAGGGGCTGTGGCTTCCGGCGCCTCGGCATAGTCAGCTGACTCCATTGCTGACTATAGGGGGCGAAATCTTGGCTCCCTCGGAGAGGGTACGCAATCTGGGGGTCCTCCTGGATCCACGGCTGACACTGGAAGACCAGCTGTCGGCCGTGACCAGGGGGGCGTTTTATCAGGTACGCCTGATTTACCAGTTGCGGCCTTTTCTGGACCGGGACGCCTTGCGCACAGTCACCCATGCCCTCGTCACCTCCCGCCTGGACTACTGTAATGCTCTCTACATGGGGCTCCCCTTGAGGAGCACTCGGAGGCTCCAGCTAGTCCAGAATGCGGCCGCGCGGGCGTTGTTGGGAGGGACTCGTCGCTCCCATGTAACACCGTTGCTGCGCGAGCTGCACTGGCTGCCGGTGGCTTTCCGGGTGCGCTTCAAGGTGTTGATTATCACCTTCAAAGCGCTCCATGGCATCGGACCTGGATATCTCCGAGACCGCCTTCTGCCGCAGGTTGCCTCCCACCGGCCGGTACGCTCCCACAGAGTGGGTCTCCTCAGGGTGCCGTCGGCCAGACAGTGCCGGCTGGCGACCCCCAGGGGGAGGGCCTTCTCGGTGGGAGCTCCCACCCTCTGGAACGAACTACCCCCAGAGATCCGGGTGATCCCGGATCTCCCTTCCTTCCGCCGCGCCCTTAAGACATGGCTATTTCAACAAGCAGGACTGGCCTAGGGGGAGATTTTTAGTGGGGTTTTAAAAATAATTTTAAATTGACACAGGCCAAATCCAATATTTCATTTTAATCATGTTTTTAAATCGGGGTATTTTTGTATTTGTTTTTTATCAGGCTGTCAGCCGCCCTGAGTCCGTAAGGAGAAGGGCGGGGTAAAACATTCAATTAAATAAATAAAATAAATAAATAAACTGCTAATAAGCAATGGAAATTCTTGCCCGGTTGTGGTCGTTAAGCCAGGGACTAACTACGCAGGTAGTCCTCAGCTTATATCCGTTCGTTTAGTGACCATTCCAAGTTACGGCGACAGCACTGCAAAAAGTGACTTAGGACCGTCGCGGCATCCCCAGGATCATGTGATTTGCATCCGGACACTTGGCGGCTGTCTCGTATTTATGACGGCCGCAGTGTCCCGGGGTCACGTGGTTCTCCCCCTCCCCCCCCTTTTGCGACTTTCCGACAAGGAAAGTCAACAGGGGAAGCCGGATTCACTTAACGACCGGGTGACTTGAGTTATTGACTCGCGTTGATAGCGCTTAACCAGGGTGGCAGGAAAGGTGGTAAAAGGGGGAGCTACAACTGAACCGAGCAAATGTCTCACTTAACAGCGGTCGTAAGCCGAGGACTGCGGCTTTTTTCACGGCTGTCTTTGCTTTTCAGGAGATTTCTGGCTGGGCTTGGAGAAGACGCACCGGGTGGTGAAGGCGGAGGCCTTCCAGCTGCTGATTGAGCTGCAGGACTGGGAAGGCAACGCGCAAAAAGCCCACTTCCTCTTCCGGCTGGGCGGGGAGGAGACGGCGTACACCCTCAGCCTCCTGGGACCCATCCGGGGGGAGCTGGAGAGCGCCATGGGGGACTTCCCCCAGCTGCCCTTCTCCACCCGGGACCGCGACCACGACCTGAAGGGCGACACCAACTGCGCCAAGCACCTCTCAGGTCAGGGGACGCGGCTCCCGGCAAGCCCCCAGGAGGGCGATTCTCAGCCCCCGCCCCTTTCAGAGGAGCGGACTTCAACTCCCAGAAGGCCACCTGGTTTAAATTTGGTTCACTTCCACATCCTGGCTGAGGAATTCTGGGAGGTGAAATCCACCCGTTTTAAATTTAGTTCACTTCCCCATGCTGGCCGAGGAATTCTGGGAGTTTGGAGTCCACCCGTTTTAAATTTGGTTCAATTCTCCATGCTGGCCGAGGAATTCTGGGAGTTGGAGTCCACCCGTTTTAAATCTGGTTCAATTTTCCATGCTGGCCAGGGAATTCTGGGAGTTGAAATCCACCCGTTTTAAATTCGGTCCACTTCCCCATGCTGGCTGAGGAATTCTGGGAGTTGGAGTCCACCCGTTTTAAATTTGGTTCAATTTTCCATGCTGGCTAGGGAATTCTGGGAGTTGAAGTCCACCTGTTTTAAATCTGGTTCACTTCCCCATGCTGGCCGAGGAATTCTGGGAGCTTTGAATGTAGCACTACGGCCGCCATCTTGACTTTTCTGACCACTCTCTCCTGGCAAAGAAAGGTTGAGCACCTAGCAGAGATCCCGGCGGGCGGGGGGGGAGGTGAAAGCTTCAAGGGGGACCCCGCTTTGAAACCCAGAACAACTTTGGGCCACCCTCTCTCTCTCTCTGTGTCCAGTCTCCCTCACAGGGCTGTTGTGTGGACCCAGTGAAAGTAGATTGCCGATAGGGTGGTGTATTTTAATATTTGTCCAATATCCGTGATATTGACACGCCTACGGAAATTGTAACCCGAGAATTAGCCATCAGGCATGCGAAGAACCCTTGCGAAAATCTTCCCAAAGCTGCTCTCCCAGTTTGGAATATACAATCGGTCCTCGACTTACGACAGTTCGTTTAGTGACCGTTCAAAGTCGCAACGGCACTGAAAAAAGGGGACTTACGAACATTTTTCAGAGTTAACGGCCATTGCTGCAGCATTCTTTCCCCCCCCTTTCCCGAATGTTCACGTGATCAGAATTCAGAACCTTGGCAACTGGTCCCTATTTGTGATGGCCGCAGCGTCCCCGGGATCAGGTGGATCCCCTCTTTTTTGACCTTATGATAGGCAAAATCAATGGGAAAAGTTTCACAACTATGTAACTGATTTAACCACCGCGGCGATTCAGTTAACAACGTTGGCAAAACTCACTTAGCAAATGCCTCGCTTAAGAACGGAAATTTGGGGGATCAGCTGTGATCTACCCGTAACCTTTCCCTCTCGCCTTGTTGGCGGAGGTGCTCCCTTGCTGGGGCCCTGGGAAGGGCATCCTCCCCCCCCCAGTCGGCTTACGTGCCCGGCTGACCCCCGTCTTCTGCCCCTTCTCTCCTTGCAGGGGGCTGGTGGTTCAGCTACTGCGGCCACGTCAACCTCAACGGCAGATACTTCCGCTCCATCCCACGCCAGCGGCACGAAAGAAAACAAGGCATCTTCTGGAAGACCTGGCGGGGGCGCTACTACCCCCTGCGATACGCTGCCATGAAGATCCGCCCTGCAGAGCCGGACCGGGGGTCCTAAGCCCCCCCCTCCACACACACACACACACACACACACACACAAAAGACTGGGCACGGGCCCTTCCTGCCGGTTCCCGCGAGACGCAGCTGGCCTCCGTCTCTCCGGAGCCTGGGCTGGCATTCGGTCGGAGGGTCCGGTGGTGGTGGGGGGGCTTCCTTTGTAAGGGAGGGGGTGAGCCTGGCCAGTGGGGGAGAGCCACCTGGGCACATGGGGGGGAGAGGGCTGCTGTGTTGTGATGTCATCTGGGGGGGTGCAGTGGAATCTGGAGACCCCCACTTCTCGGACTCCTGGGAACGCGGGAAAGTTTTGGGGTGCGGCGAGGCTGATTCCGCTGACTTTGTGCCACATCCATGTGCAAAACACATGTGGCTTCCTCTCCTCCCCCCCCCAAATTATCTGTGTAAAGGCATTGAGACAGCTATGGGGCTGGCGGGGAGGGTGGTCCGGTGGGGGGGCAGAAGGCCACTCCCCCATGCAAATGCTGGGGGCCTCTTTTACGGAGCCTCCAAACTGGCTTCTTTGAATTTAAGGCACCCCCCCACCTCTTCGGATCCTCTTTGGGTCATATTGACTTAAAAATGCTCCTGGGTTGGTCTTGTGCAGGACAGTTGTTGGGGGGGGGTGCAGCGGGGAGGGCGGTGGTTACGTGTTAGGTGTATTTTTCGTCCCCCCATTTCCAATCCTCCAGCGTTTTTTTTTTATATATATATTTTAAAACTGGACCATCGCCAAATGAATATTGTCGTGTAAACTTTACAAAAACTGTGCTTCGGATGCTCGCCGTAAGAAACGGGAGATTCGTTTTGTTTTCCTCTTTGCTTTTTGTTTTTTTTTAAAAAAATCTTTTTTTATACTTAGGTGTGAGACTTTGTGGTCAGTGACATGTCTTTGATGAATCATGATTAAAAACGACGGGATATTTTTTTTTCTCCCCCCTCCCCATTTGGATTCTTTTGGCGGGACGATTTAAAAAAAGAGGTTGAAGCTTTTTGGACGGTCCTCGTTCACACGATCCACCTGGCCAGGAGGTTGCGGATGCTACGCACCCTGGCTAAGATAACGTTGAAGCCTCTGAAATTCAGGATTTGGTCACTTGGGGGTGGGAGGGGGGAAGCCAGGAGGACATCTAGTCCGCTCGAACAAAAGGACATGATCCTGAGAAATAAATTGTCTAGAGAGACAAACTGAGAGGGATCTTGGAGTCCTAGTGGACAATTACGGTACTTAAATATGAGCTATCTAACAAAATGAAATTCAGTGGTGAAAAAAGTATTTTAGGCAAGAAAAACCAAATGCACAGGTATAGTATAGGGGGTACCTTGCTCAATAGTAGCAACTGTGAGAGGGACCTCGGAGTCCTAGTGGACAATAACTTAGATATGAGCCAGCCGTGTGCTGCAGCTGCCAAAAAAGCCAACACAGTGCTGGGCTGCATTAACAGAGGGATAGAATCAAGATCACGTGAAGCGTTAATACCACTTTACAATGCCTTGGTAAGGCCACACTTGGAATCCTGCATCCAGTTTTGGTCACCAGGCCTTGGTAAGGCCACACTTGGAATACTGCATCCAGTTTTGGTCACCACGATGTACAAAAGATGCAGAAACTCTAGAAAGAGTGCAGAGAAGAGCAAGAAAGATGATTAGGGGACTGGAGGATAAAACATATAAGGAAGAGTTGATGGAATTGGGTATGTCTAGTTTAATGAAGAGAAGGACGAGGGGGGACATGATAGCAGCCTTCCAGTATCTCAGGGGCTGCCCCAAAGAAGAGGGAGTCAAGCTATTCTCCAAAGCGCCTGAAGGCAGGACAAGAAGCAACAGGTGGAAACTAATCAAGGAGAGAAGCAACCTAGAACTAAGAGGAAACTTCCTGACAGAACAATTAACCAGTGGAACCACCTGCCTCCAGAAGCTGTGAATGCTCCAACACTGGAAGTTTTTAAGAAGAGACTGGACAGCCATTTGTCCGAAATGGTATAGGGTTTCCTGCCTGAGCAGGGGGGTTGGACTAGATGACCTCCAAGGTCCTGTCCAACAACATCATTACTATTATTGTAACTGTGGACCTCTGGGAAGCAGAGGTGAATGGGCTGCAGGTAGTCCTTACAACAGTTCATTTAGTGACTGTTCAAAATTACAATGGCATTGAAAAAAATGGCTTTTTCACGCTTAAGAACATGGCACCGTCCTCATGGTCATGTGATCAAAAATTTGGACGCTTGGCAACTGGCGTGTCTCCATCACGGTTGCAGTGTCCCCGAGTCACGTGATTCCGTTTGGTGACCTTCTTACCAGCAAAGTTGATGGGGGAAGCTGGATTCACTTTAACGACCGTGTTGCTAACAGCTGCAGTGATTCACTTAACAAGCAACAAGGCCGTAAAATGGGGCAAAATTCGCTTAACAAATATCTCGCTTGGCAACTGAAACATTGGGCTCATTTGCTGTCATAACTCAGAATAACAATAACAGAGTTGGAAGGGACCTTGGGGATCATCTAGTCCAACCCCCTGCTTGAGCAGGAGACCCTAGACCAATTCACACAAACTGCTGTACAATCTCCTCTTAAAAGCCTCCAGTGATAGAGCAGTCGAGAATCACCTTACTTCAATCGATCAGAATAGAGTTGGAAGGGACCTTGGGGTCATCTAGTCCAACCCCCATTCCGGACAGGTGGCTGTTCAGTCTCTACTTAAAAGCCTCCAGTGATGGAGCAGTGGAAGTCTACCTGTACTTCCTTTGAATCCAGCAGCCCCAGGACCGACGGTATATTGTTGGGGTTGAGGGATAAGGCAGCCTCAGATGTAATTATGCCAAAATAATTTGCTTAATCAGCTGAACCCTCCTGGCTGACTCATCACTGGAATAAAAGGAAATGGGTGAATCTATTTAAGCGGAGCTCTTAATTGGATAGGATTACAGGCTGCAAGAGCTCCATTAGAGGATTAACCTGGAGTCGGGGACAACCCCATTGAAATCAACCTGCCAATTACATTACTAAGCTGTTTACAAACCATGGTCTTAATGGCTAGGTTTGCAGAACACGTGAAGCCAAAATGGGCTTTGTTTGTTAGTGTCTTAATAAATGTGCACACATCCCCGTCATCTTGGCTTCTCTTAAAAAGTGGACTTCCATTCTCACAAAATACAGGCACTGCACCAGTGCGGTCTTCCAACATCCCATCCCATTTATCACTTAAAGCATAAAAGCTGGCAGCCTAAAAACATCTTACCAGCCTCCGGTGAAATATATATCTTTTCAGGCCTTCTTCAATTTTAACACGCGAAACCTGGGATTGTCATGGAAAATGCAGTTAATTATTATTAAACCTCTGATGATGGGACTTTAGACTTGAGGTGGACATAATCTTGCAAATTATTTGGGGCTAAGCCATGCAAACACTGGCCAGTTTATAATGCCTTGGTAAGGCCACCTCTGGAATACTGTGTCCAGTTTTAGTCGCCACGATGTAAAAAAAATGTTGAGACTCTAGAAAGATTGCAGAGAAAAGCAAAAAGAATGATTAGGGGACTAGAGATTAAAATATATGAAGAACGGTTGCTGGAATTGGGGATGTCTAGTTTAATGAAGAAAAGGCCGAGGGGGGACATGATAGCAGGATTCCAACATTTGAGGGGCTGCCACAAAGAAGAAGGGGGTCAAATTATTCTCCAAGGCGCCTGAAGGCACGACGAGAAGCAACGGATGGAAACTAATCAAGGAGAGAAGCAACCTGGAACTGAGGAGAAACTTCCTGGAAGTGAGAACAATTAACCAGTGGAACAACTTGCCACCAGAAGAACGAGAAACAATGGTTGGAAACTGATCAAAAGAGAGAAGCAACCTGGAATTAAGGAGAAACTTCCTGACAGGGAGGACTATAAACCAGTGGAACGGCTTGCCACCAGAAGTCATGGGCACTCCATCACTGGAGGTTTTCAAGAAGAGACTGGAGAGCCATCTATCCATCCATCCATCTATCTATCCATCTGCCTATCATCTATCAATTACCTATTTGTTATCTGTCATGTTTCTATCCAACTATCGATCCATCTATCATCTATTAATCAATTCATTATCTATCTATCCATCCATCATCTATCTATTTAATCCAGGGGGAGGCAACCTTGGCTCTTTTATGACTGGTGGACTTCAACTCCCAGAATTCCTGAGCCAGCCATGCTGAGGGGAAAGGGAGAGTTTCCAAGCTGAGCCAGGCTGGCTCAGGAATTCTGGGAGTTGAAGTCCACGAGTCATGAAGGGGCCAAAGTTTCCCTCATGCTGGCTCAGGAATTCTGGGAGTCGAAGTCCACGAGTCATGAAGGGGCCAAAGTTTTCCCCATGCTGGCTCAGGAATTCTGGGAGTTGAAGTCCACGAGTCATAAAGCGGCCTAGGCCTAGGGCAGGGGTAGGCAACCTTGGCTCTTTTATGACTGGTGGACTTCAACTCCCAGAATTCCTGACCCAGCCATGCTGAGGGGAAAGGGAGAGGTTTCCAAGCTGAGCCATGCTGGCTCAGGAATTTTGGGAGTTGAAGTCCACCAGTCATGAAGGGGCCATAGTTTCCCTCATGCTGACTGAGGACTTCTGGGAGTTGAAGTCCATGAGTCATGAGGGGGGCATAGTTCCCCCATGTTGGCTGAGGAATTCTGGGAGTTGAAGTCCACGAGTCATGAGGGGGGCATAGTTCCCCCATGCTGGCTGAGGAATTCTGGGAGTTGAAGTCCACCAGTCATAAAAGAGCCAAGGTTGACTACTGTATCCATTGATCCATGTCTCTCTCTCTCTCTCTCTCTCTCTAATCTCTGGGGAGAAGAGGGCCGGGGGGGGGCGCAGGGGCGGGGCGGGCAGGTCGACGCCCCTCCCCCGCAGCCTTTGAAACCCTAAGCAGGAGGGGGCGGGGTCGCCACCTTTTGGAACCTCCAGAGACGGCCATAGGCCACGCCCCCGAACTCCACCGTCTCTCTCTCTCTCTCTCTCTCTCCCCCCGCTCGCCCGCCGATTGGTCCCCGCCGCCGCTCGCGCTCGCGCAGCACTGGCAGCCGCCCGGCCGAAGTCCCGCCTCCCGGGGCGCGAGCTCCGCCGCTGATAGGCGGGCCGGGCTGCCCTTCCCGGCCTTCCTCGTCAGCTGCGCGCCGGCCCCGCCCTTCGCCTGCCTGAGGGGAGCCTGTCAGGGCCGGCGCGGATCGACTCCGGCTCGGCCTGCTCGGCTCCGGCCGCCTTGCCTGCCTTCCGCTCGAGCGGGACGGGGCCAGCGCCGCCATGGGCACCCGCGACGACGAGTACGACTATCTCTTCAAAGGTGCGCCGGGCAGGCCGCGGGGCTCGGCGGGAAGCGCGAAGCGGGCCTGGGCCTGCTGGGAGGGGGGGCGGGGAGGGGGCTGAGGGGGAGGGTCTTTCTTCCCCCGGCCCCCTCCCCCCCGGCGCCTCTGCGGGGCCCGGAGCGGCTCAGGCCTCCCTCTCGGGGGCCCCGGGCAGACCCCCCC